AATACTTTTACAGTAAAATTTTTAAAATTAAATAAAGTACTAAATACTAGTAATTTTTGTATCCATTGGGGTGGAAGAACAGATTATACGGTGTGTTTCTCAAAAAAATGACACAAATACGGTAGATGGTTCATTGGACTAAAAATTTATATCTTGGTTTATATCTTGAGTTTACTCTGATATACAGGCAATTTAAGAAAACCACGCCAAGAAACATCTAATCAAATAATATTACATCTTCAACACAGTTTTCTTAAAATGCTTGCACAACATGTATGGTACAAAAGTCTGAAGGATTGACATCAACCAACATTGAGGAGAAGCTTTTAGAAACATTTTCGAAGATTTATGGTCGCGAATGTGTTGATAACCTGCTTCAAATTTGATAAAACGAAGAGCTCGACATAATTAAGTGTATAAAAATTCAGTGCTATCAAAGGCTTGGTCACTGAATTGGTTTTCGTACGGATTCATACGGAATGGAAAATACACCGACTAGAAATGTGTTCGATTCGGTATGCGTTAGTAAAGGATACAATAGAAGATGATGGAAGGATTACGAATGGATGAAAATACTCCGACTAGAAATGTGTTCGATTCGGTATGCGTTAGTAAAGGATACAATAGAAGATGATGAAAGGATTACGAATGGATGAACATACACCGACTAGAAATGTGTTCGATTCGGTATGCGTTAGTAAAGGATACAATAGAAGATGATGGAAGGATTACGAATGGATGAAAATACTCCGACTAGAAATGTGTTCGATTCGGTATGCGTTAGTAAAGGATACAATAGAAGATGATGAAAGGATTACGAATGGATGAACATACTCCGACTAGAAATGTGTTCGATTCGGTATGCGTTAGTAAAGGATACAATAGAGGATGATGGAAGTATTACGAATGGATGAAAATACTCCGACTAGAAATGTGTTCGATTCGGTATGCGTTAGTAAAGGATACAATAGAAGATGATGGAAGGATTACGAATGGATGAACATACTCCGACTAGAAATATGTTCGATTCGGTATGCGTTAGTAAAGGATACAATAGAAGATGATGGAAGGATTACGAATGGATGAAAATACTCCGACTAGAAATGTGTGCAGTTCGGTAACCGTTAGTAAAGGACACAATAGATAATGAAGAAAGAATTATATGACTAACGATATCAAGGTTTTGGGTGCTATCAAACAGAGACAGAATGCTACTGTACGGGCTGAAGGATGCTACTAGAAGCGATCAAGGACGGTTCACGTCCATGATAGCCAACTAAGTCAAAAAGTGTCTACAAGATGCTTTACGGGATTAAGTTATTTTGTGTATTAGTGTTTAGCTTCTGTTCCTTGAGGTTTTTATGAATAAATAATTTTTATAGGTAGAATTTTTATTAAATCCCAGTATCTCGATGGTAGTGAAATTGATCTTAGTGTCAATGAACATATATAATTTACTTTAATCTATCCAATTTAAAATATTAATGCTTTGGTTAAAATAGGCTATCGTTTTCACGGATCCATGCCAATAAAAACACTTTATTATTTATTAAAAAAGAGTTAACTTAAGCTGAAATATTTTTATTCGCATAACCGATCTGAGTTTAGAAAGGTATAAATTTTAAAATCAAAAATTTTAATATAAGCATCTATTGCCGTCTGTCAGTCCTTTTCACGATATCTTTGAAAGTTTGATGTCTGAACGAGTTTATATTACAAATGCTATAAATAGGTTTAAAACCAATATGGAGTGAGTAAAGTTCATAGTTTCATATAGTAGTATATATTTTCAAGATCGTACTTCGATAAGAAAAACTAAGTGCAACTGCAACATATTAATAAAAAATCGGTACATCAAATGAAGCACAGCGGGATGATGACGGTTATGGGGCAAATTTTTTATATTTATAAAAACGGATTATAAGATATGGAAGACTATTCTTATAGTAAAAAAAATCTTTAGTTATTAATAGCGTAATATCTAGTCATATACCAGATTAGTATTTTAAATTTTTAAATAAGTGATTGAAAAATTTTTACTCTTAAATTAGTTCCGAAGTTATGATGGCTTACTTTACCGATGGTTCAAATATTAGGAGTGGTGTAGAAAGTAAAATTTTCTCTGAAAGACTGAATATATCCTCTTACTATAGGCTCCCAGATCACTGTAGTGTATTTCAGGTAGAAGTAATTGCTAAAAGGTAAGCTATAGCTTATCTAGTCATTGAGTTCAGTTCAATTTACATCTAGGACAGTCTTTGATAAGAGATAATCAAAGTATCTCTAAATGATATGTCGACGCAGTTCAATATTTCTCTAATTTGAGTTCCCACTCATAGGGATATTTTCGGGAATTGCTAAGCAGACGAGCTAGCTGGATGGCGTGCTTCAGAACACCTAAACAATGTGGGCATATCATTAACATCATGCAAACTTGCACTAAATTCTTCCCATGCCGAACTTTTTAACAAAAGTTGGGAAGACTCAACGATATGCAGGCATTTGTATGCAATTTGCCTACGCTCCAATAAAAGAAAGTCAAACTCTCTCATTGAGATGACGCACAGAAATATCTGTATTTTAGTAGGTTTACTTACAGGTCATTGCATTTAAAGGAACCATAGTAGGAGACTAAATCTCCGTTTCAACCATACCTGCCGCAGTTATGGAGAGGACGATGAAAGTTCCTCCCATCTGCTTTACTTCTTTCCAGCACATGTGCTGCACCGCCTTATCACTTTAGGGACTTTCTTCTTTGAGAATCTTGACGAACAGCAAGACCTCCCTTTGATTAGCACTATAAGCTTTGCCAACGGTCTTAAGTGGTTCTAACCTTTGAGTTTACAATTATACGATAACACATTAGACCTATAGGTTTAAGTGGATCCCTTGGGATCGCCGGTATAACCTAATCTATGATGGTTTACCATTATTATTTTTTTCTTTTAGAAATTCTTTTGTTTTAAAATTTTAGAAAAATATTCTTATACATACGCTTATAATAATTTCCTTTATCTTCCAGTTAGATTTAGTGAAAGAATTTTCATCAACCAGACTTCGTTTTCTGTCAACAAAATCTTTTTAAATTGATAGAACGTAAAAGTATTAATGAGTTTTAGGCATCAAATAAAAGTAAATATTTGAGACTCAAACTTTTTTAACTATTTTAACTTAATTAGATTGCACATTTTTATTAACTGTTTTCGACTATAGAGTTTTTCCTGTAGATGTTTTCTATAGATTATTTCTTAAATATGAAAAATATGCTAAAGTGCGTGACCAATGCAAAAGGCAGGTCTTTGCTCTTGACATGTGCCGACATATCATACATCAACACATTACTGTCAACAAATAATTATTTTGATATACTATATATTTTGATATACAAATAAACATACTAAAAAAGTGATTAGAATCGATCAAGAAGAGTGATGTTATCTAATATCATAACAGCAATATGCCACACGTACGCTTTTTTCCTAATAGTTCTTTCTAGGCTCGATATATATGTACATATATATGTATATTGATATTTTAGCTTACATTGATGTATAACTTTTACATCAACCGGACGGTATTATAATCCCAAAAAACATATAGCACAACCTCCTTGTTGCCAAATTCGGTCTTAGCAAAGTCTGTAATCCTTTTTTTTTAGTGAAGTCGTTTTCATGTAACACTTATATGTGATCCATTTTCATAGCTTGTTCCCATACACATCGAACATGACTTGTTCGATCCATTTCTAGAGATGGTTATATCAAATAAATTTAAAGGCGTTTCGTCTAAGGCGTTTCGACGAATAAGTATCGAGGAAATGTATTGGGTTAAGCAGTACAATTATTTTATTACACTCGATAGGACCTACGAGAGGTAAGTAAATAAATTCTGATTATGGAATTTTTTTATTTTTAAATTTCATGATTCATAATACTTCTACAACATTTTTTTATAGTGCTACATATAAGCATTTTATTAAATTTTCTAAGTAGTGTTATGGTATAAAAGTGAATAGAACTTCAATTATTATGACTGAGAAATTATTTTAATATATAAAATAAGGCGCCTTATTGGTTTTAGGTGGATTCAATTCATTAACTTTTTACTTAATAGAATAGAAATTAATAATTCATATATAAATAATCTTGAAAAACTTCTGTCTTTTGATGTTGTTTTACTATTTTTAAGTATGCCAGTTGAATATACGATAAAAGTTATAGATAGCAAATGGTCTTAATCTTCCAAATGAGTTCTATGTGAAAAAGAAAGATATTTATAAATGGTTCTGAGTTTCCTCAAAACCTATCTATTCCTTGCTAAAGAGAAATCACAAATTACAAGAAATTAGACTGAATTTTCAGTCGGAAATGTGCGTGACAATAATGTACATTTCTAGTTTTACAAAAAATTTTATAAAATACAAATACAATAGAGGTCTGCTCTTACCTCTGGAATTTAAAACAAAATGTATCTTGAAACACTACTTCTTTAATAAAATAAAAATGATTCATTATATTCATTATTTGGAATTCATGATATCCAATTGGTATACTGGATAAGCACGACATATTTTCCTAATTCTATGTGGACCGATGGGTCCAATAATGTATATAGGTATAACAAAAAATAAATTAAGAACCAGAATCACTCTTCATGAGCTTGTTATAATGAGCCGATAAACATCTAGTCAGTTATCATGCAACAATTAACTCTACTCTAAGAGAGAGAAAGAGAGAGAGAGAGAGAAATTACGAAGAAATTAGGATGATCTAAAGGACACTTAAATCAAGTTTCCCGCTGTCATCATGTCCTTAATTGAAGAAAAATAATTACCAAATATAAGAAGTTGTATTATAAGGTTGTACGATTTAAGGAAACAACTGTTGGATATATGAATTATAAAAAAATATGCACCTTATGTAGATGATTTTATGTACCATTATCTTAACTTTAGTTAAGAGTGGTAGTAATAGTTACCATAAATGAAAAGAGAAAAAAGTTTCAATTATTTATCAGTACTTTTTAATTTATTTAGTTTCTTTTTTAAAGTGTTTAAGATCCTTTACCGTAGGGAGATTTGCTGTTTACTGGTACATAGAAATCACCGAATGCATTAACATAGTTGGAGGGTGCACCCATTCTTACTGACGAGTAAGTGCTACCGCAAGATTTGTCGACAGCTGCTTCGTAGTTTCCACATTTCATGGTAGGGAAATCATTGTCACGTATAGCTTCTCCGTAGTATTCGTATGAGCGTGAGTGAGCGCATGAGCCAGCCAAATCAAGACCGCACCCGGGTTGAGTTCTACCTCCGTTAGGATAGAAAGCGCTTTTGCCAATAGGTTGTAAGAAACCTAAAAGACCACCACAGGTTTGAATAGATTCAACATAATCAGCATCATTTTGATTTAAACGTTCTGATGGATCATCGTAGCTGTACAAGGGCAAAGCAGGATCTAAACCGGTGATTTGATGAATTCGACCATATTTAACATTTTTGCCAGCAAAACCAGATACGTGAGCACCTAAGCTGTGACCCATGACTAATAAGTTGCCGAAAGACATACCGCCTGAGGTGTACAAGAAATCAATGAAATTGGCAACTTGTTTACCGACACCTGGTACACGCAATACAGAAGCTGCATAATTGATAGTTTCAGCCTTTGAGCTCCAATCTACACAGATGACATTGTATTTGCCAGTAGCTAAAAGTGCACCACGTAAAACTACGTTGACATCAGATAAGTAGTTATTTTGCCAGCCATGGATAATGAATCTGGTTGGATTAGCAGAATTGTAGTTTGAGTTTTTGAGTGCGCTGGCATCATTAATTGCAATTTCTTGTGGAGAGTTTGGATTAGAGTTAGTGTACAGATAGAAAGTCACAACAGCTGCGGCACGACCTTGAGGAGTGCTGTCTTTTAATGCTTCGAATTCTTCAGTTGTCATCCATTCGAAGGTACCATCTTCCTGTGGTACAGACCAGCCATTGGTCTGTTCTTGTACAGGAATTGCACTAGCTAAAATTATTCAGTTTTCTATTAGAAATTCTTTTCAAAAGTAAAAATAGTATAAATTTAAATTACCGGCAGCAATACAGAGCAGTACGACTGATATAACTTTCATTGTTTTAGCAAATTTCAAATGCAATTCGTCTTCAGCGTAAATTTCTTTTTATACTGTTCAATGTCATGTGAAATTCTTATCAAAATCGGTAGCTACGAATCTATTCACTACACCCCACTACGCCAAGTCATTACTTTATTGGGAATACACGTATCATATCATTTTGTGTCATATCATATTATCGGAGCTGCAGGTAAGTGCTTGCTCCTCAAGTGCTGATTATTAGTAGAGATATAATCGTAAATTTGGATTTCCACAGTTAAAAACATGCCCAACGCCTATGTTACGTACGTAAGTGTAAATAATTAATTTGGAAAAAATTATAAATAATTATTAAAATAATAGAACCTCTTATCAGTATTATCGTTTGACACTTTATTATTTAAATAATTTAAACTGTGATTTCGAAAGTTGAAGCGTGTTCTTAATGTATTGATCCCTAATGTGTTTACCGATAATTTATTATTCTAAAAGTCTCAAGTGTAACACTTTTGTGTATATTCAAATTATTCATAAATCAATAATATAGTATTTAAGAGTTGACACTTAGAGTAATTTATATTTTACTAAGTTACGGTAAGAGCACTTATAGTTCTAATACTCCAATAGGTGTAGTTCGGTAGCTTAGGTACCCTAACTTTTAAAACTGGCGTGTGTATAATATGATTACAAAAAAAGCTTCAAAAATTTGACGGTTATAGATAAATATATCTATAACATGTAATTAATAAAGAAATATTTTCGTTTTTAAAATATATCGTTTTTTTTTTTTTGAAGAAATAAATTCTATAAAAAAATAAATTAGTCGAAACCAACACAATCAGTTAAAATATATTTAATAAAAATATAACATACTGTCAATTTGTTAAAAATATTTACTGAAGTGTCCGAAAATAAGTCCTAATTTTATTCATATGCCAAAGAATTTATAACAAATACTCAACATAATTTACTATCTTCATCTATAGGTTAAAAAAAGAATGACTTCGTCTGGACCTGAAATATTTAATTTATTAAGAATAAATACTTTAAAGAGTAATTACTTCTATAGTACTCTAACACTTGTTTACAAAATAAGGTGAAATGACTTTTAAAAGCCTTATTCATCCTTCCAAATGTATTCCTTCGATTTCTATACATTATACTCATCACCGACATTTTTTTTCAATCGTAAAAATAATCGTTTAAGTCCATTTTTGGAATAACCAGCGTAGCGATTCAGTTCATATTTCTTCAATCGGATTGAAAGTGTCTACGAATCTATTGAGCTAAGAAAAAAATCGAATACGATGGTTGTGGAACCAAGAGTTGAATTTTTGACAAAATGGTCCTGCAGCTTTAATGCAGTGTATTATCGTGATAAAGTAACCAAAACTTATTTGTCCAAAATTTTAGTCTTTAGCCAAAGGCTTTACTTAAATATTGCAATACACTTAAATAATATACCTTGCTATTATTTTGCCCCATTGAAAGAAATTCGTAATGCCCCACACCACGATTATTACTCCTATTCTGAGTAATTATTCCCAGGAAAAAAGTTTCTCCTAAAATGCATTTCTGCCTAGAATGGAATTTCCATATTCCGAATTCCTTGGGAGACATCTGTTGTTGGAACAGCAAGAAATTCAAATTTGCACATCAATTAATGTTGTTTTAAATAAAAAAATTTGAATTTTTAAAAATGCATTTAATAAATAATTTAAAACTTTTATTTTAATTATTTACTTTATTTTTTAAATACTTACATTATCTATTTTTTTTTTAAAAGAATAAAAAATGTAACAATAGCTGTAATTTTTTCTTTCAGAGTAGCAAAAAAATACTCGTAACTTACAAAAGAAAACCTGTGAAGCAACAACAATGCTCTTAAAATCTTCAGAGTTAGGTTTTACTAGCAAAAAATTTTAAGTCTTAAGTTTCAGTGCAGCCAAATTCAAAAACCAGTTTATACTGAATGTTCACTGAAAAAATCATGTGAGCATTTCAATTACTAATAATTTTAAATACATAAATATATACGATAAAAATGCTAAACATTGCCTCTCTAATATTCATTTTGTTTTCTTTTATTTAAATTAATTAATTTTTAATGTTTACTATAGCCAATTTTTTCAATCAGACTAAATGCTGTTTTTAAACAACTCAAAAAAAAAAATTACGGCTAATATTGAAGTTATTAATGTTTCAACTGAGGTTTGAGTATCTCTATTTCCAAAAATAGACAATTTATTTTTAGTTTCGTTCTCAATTTTCCGTAATTTTAATTTCTCCATATATTCTTTTGTTTATATATTTCAAACTAACATTTTAATTAATGAAAAAAACCCGTGTAGATAAAATAAATAAATAAAAATTTAAATGTATTCGAAAAACTGATAATTATTGGTTACTTATATATTAAATTAAACTCGTTCTAACTAATCTCCACACATAGAAAGATACCTCTTTGACAGTCTATCAGACTGTTCATCAATGAAAACGACCCATTAAATTATCTAAATTCGAAGGGAAAATTTAGTCTCTACTCTTTTATATTAGGGGTTCTTGCAAGGAAGTAGGCGTTCGCAGATTTAGGTACATGAAAGTTATCTAATGGTCTGCCACTGCAATCAACTAGCCAATCAATCCCCATAAAACTTCCTTCTACAATTTACCAGAATAAGAGAAATAGAAATAGGGAAAGGCATAAACTCCCATTCCCATTTCATTCAGAATATGAGAAATGAGAAAACAGAAAAAATTCCCATTTCATTTAGAATAGGGATGAATATGAATGCTATATATACTCGATTTGGATCACCTTTTACATGGTATTTATTTGAAAGCATGATTGTTACCGGGTCATATGCATATAGCCAATTATCACATCCAGTTATCAATTATTTCATCCTAACCTATTAGTTAGAAAGCATTGTTTGACAGCCTATTGTGCACTTCTGTTTTCAAAGAAAAAATATTGACGGTTTCACTAAACAAGATTTCACACTTTTCAGGCAGAAAACATCTTTCAAAATGGTCTCAATCAAATGGTAATAGAATGTTGATGGTCCAAGCTGATTTTTATCTTCGATACTTTTTCTGAATTTTATTTGAATTGTTTATATAATCCATAAATATTTTTTCTGATATATCCTGTTCATATTATGAGTGTTCGGCCTTGCTCTAGGCAATATGGAAAATACTAGGCTGAAAGCTATAAAATGCTTTTGATAATAGAAAATTCTAAATGGTGAACATTTTTGTCTTTATTTGAATGGCTGAGTAACTACTGTTTGGAGAGGGTTGGTTGCTAGAACAACATGTCTACTATGGTTTCAGTGTTCCATTCCATTGGAAGTGAGTGCATTTCTATGTTATTACTTGCTTACTTACTGCTGTCCTTCTCTTCTAAGTAGAGCATAGGGCCTCTGTGCTGTATACTCTTCTACTATCTACTATTATATGCTATATACTATTATAAACTCTATATAAACTCTATACGGAGTTTATAATAAGTATTGTAGTATATCTCTCTCTTATCCTCATTTCCCAGTGGACTATAGGCCCTCTATTATGACATAGAGTCTTAATACTTAAATAAAATATTTTACATTATATTTTGTACAAAAAGTTAAAGAGGTTTTAAAAAGTGAACTACAACAACAATAATTTTTTTTACATTATTTTAATTAATTGTATTTTTTGATGAATATAAATAATGCCACTACAAGAGAATAGTATAATAAAAATTTAACAATTAAAAATCTAACCATAATAGATTTTATAAATATTGAATTTGATTCAACTATTAATTTAAATATTATTAATTTTCGATTGCTAGATGTAGATTATCGAGTTCGAATCCACAAATTCCGATTTGAGTAACTGTTATTCACTCTTGAACTATTCCAGTAAAAATTGATGGAACACCAGATCGTTTAAATCAAACAAATTTTTTCACAAATTGAGCTGAATTATTTTATGGACAATATTTAATTCAATTAAACAATTATTTCAATTAAATTAATTTAATTATTCTACAACTGGTTTATGATTTCGTTCTAATATAACACAGCAAGTGAATTTGTTAATAATCCTTCAAAGTAAATTCACAAGAACTCCAAGTTGTCAGTTGTCTAATGAACACTGACTCTAAGCTTCAAAAAATTATTTAAGAATAATTAAATATAAAATTTAATAATAATAGGAATTTCGTAATACTCGAAACAGCTTTATGGTAAGCCTAAAATTCAATTAAATAAAAATGATAAAATTTTGTTGTTGTGATTCACTACTTTTCGAAACCTCTCCAGCAAAATACAATAGTTTCTATTAAGTAAAATAGTCACTACCATCATATGTGACGTTGAATTACAATTTATTAAATAAAATGTTAAATTAAGTTTTACATTTCTTATATAGCTCTTTATTGTATTATATATTAAAAGTCTTATTCCATAACAAATGACGATATTGTAAATATATTTGTGATACAATAAATAAATGTAGTTTCATTTTTAGAAAGTAAAAAATTTTGTTTCGCACCAATTTTTGTTTTAACAGAATTTTGTGATAATAAAAATATTTTTAATAATATCTGTGATTTATATTTAAATAGGACGAATCTATTGGAACATGCGGAACAGTGCTTTTTATACGCCAGAAAAATGTGCGGCCACGTGAAAGTTGTTTCATTTTATCCATTTCAGTCAAGCAGTGCAACCAGGTTTTGTAAACTACCGAATTCGGTGGGTTAGCAACCAAAAGTTTAGTGCCATTAACCATCATGCAAGTGGTTACTACTTGCAAAGGATACAAAAGATGAGTGACACAAAATTGTACAGCGCCGGATAGGTAGGAGCGGCCGAAGGATTTGCTGACTATATGTTTATTTATAAAATATGCACAAGCGCTTGTCAAAAGTAGGGAACCTATTTCGTTTAACATCCTTGGTATAAGACCCTGAAAAAAGCCATAAATACCTTCATTCTTATATATTTCAATTATAGAAGTAATAAGGGAATCATATATAGTTTCGCGACCGATAAATTGTGCCATCATTCGAACTTGTATGACCTGGAAAGGATGTGAAACTATTACACTGCTCAGGCAAACCACCAAATCACGTCGAAAATTATGTTTAAAATTCTCAATTCTTCGCTCTTCATTCGAGCTAAATTGTTTTTCCAGTGGCGTAAAAAAATTTGCCAATCGATCACTGAATGTAACACCAATAATCATACCCAATATCCTCGGTTTCACACCACGGAAACATCCAGAGAAACCATCATAACGGTAAATATACAGTGCGTACTCAAATATATTGGGAAAGATCATAATTGTACGCCCATTCGTAGTAGTGTGCGGTCTAGCCGGTTGCGGTTCATAGCCGAGTTGAATTAAAATTTGTGCATACTCGAGTGGATAAAGGATGGTGCTTAAGAGAACTCGTGTACCGCTACGGAAGCCTGGAACTGCTGCATTTTCATCACGTTTTACATATGTTGAAGCAATCATTACTGAATCAGTAATATATTAGGCGATTGTGACAAAATTATAAATAAAACTGAAGTCCAGCGGAGAACTGTAATTATAAAATTGATATAAAATATTTTTTTCAGTGAGTGTAAGATATTATTTTTCATTTTTTTGAACATGCGTATTTTGCATATCTTTTATATTAAGTTGATAAAACAGTTGTTTAAAAATTTATATTGCAATATACCTCTTCGCAGGGTTGGTATTCTTAATTAAAACATTTAATTTGCCCGCTTGTTCCAAAAAAAATCTATACTATTGTTCTAAATCAAGATTTCCCAATGGAAAAGATCATAACTCTGCATCTAAATTGGCTAGACTTTTGGCAAGATATTTCCACACACTATTACTTCTGTGTTACCACATATAAATTTTATCACCAGACAAAATATGAAAGAGAGGAGTATTTGCATTCGAACATAAAAGTCTTACAAGTTTAGCTAGTGTAAACGCCCATTAAGTGTTTGCTTTGCAATTTAAGAGATGCAAATTCAATACTGGCTACCAGTAAATATACCAAAATCAAACATCAAACTTTTTCGAAGTGTTAATAATTATTTAAATTAATTAACATATTTAAAAACTAATAATAATAATAAATAAAACATAATAATATAATAATAAATAAAATAAAATAATAATAAGTAAAATATAATAATAATAATAATGAATAAAATAAAATAATAAATAAAATAAATTAATAATAAATAAAATAAAATAATAATAAAAAGTAAAATAAAATAATAATAGTAAATAAAATAAAATAATAATAATAAATAAAATATAATAATAATAATGAATAAAATAAAATAATAATAAATAAAATAATATTATAATAGTTAAAAAAATAAAATGTTAATAATAAATAAAATATAATAATAAAAAAAATATGATGATAATAATAATAAATAAAACAAAACAATAAATCAAACACCAAATTTTTTGGAAGTGTTAATAATTATTTAAATTAAATAATACATTCGAAAACATATAATAATAATAAATAAAACAATAATAATAAATAAAGTAATAATAATATAAATAAAATGTAATAATAATAATAATAAATAAAACATAATAATAATAAATAAAATATAATAGTAATGATAATTAAAATAAAATAATAATAATAAATAAAATAAAATAATAATAATAAATAAAATTAAATAATAATAATAAATAAAATAATATAATAATAAAAAATAAAATAAAATAATAAATAAAGTGAAATAATAAAATTTTTATAAAATAAAATATTAATAATAATGAATAAAATGAAATAATAATTATGAATAAAAAAACCAATAGTAATGAATAAAATAAATCAAAAAATAAAATAATACTAAAAAATAAAATAAAAGAATAAATAAAATAAATAGTAAAAAATGTGCAATAAAAAATAATTCAACAAAAACTTTTACTGAAATACATTCACAAATTATTTTCAAAGTGTGGCAAAAATTGCTACAACAATTCGCCAGCACATTTAAACGATTCGCCGACATATCGCTAAAACGATTCGCCGACATATCGTTGATACGTTGGTATATCGCTTAAACGATTCGCCGGCACATTGCTAAAAGAATACGCCAGAGCACATTAAAACGATTCGCCGACATATCGTTAAAACGATTTCCCAACACATCACTAAAATGATTCGCCAATATACTGCTAAAACGATTCGCCTGCAGATCGCTAAAACAATTCGTCAGCACATTAAAACGATTCGCCGACATATCGTTGATTCGTTGATACATCGCTTAAACGATTCGCCGGCACATTGCTAAAAGAATACGCCAGAGCACATTAAAACGATTCGCCGACATATCGCTAAAACGGTTCGCCGACATATCGTTAAATTGATTTATTAGTACATCGCTAAAATGATTCGCTTGTACATTAAAACGATTCTTCGGCACAACGCTCTAAAATGATCCACTGCCACATTGGAAATTTCAAACGGTAGCGAATTGTCGGGCAATTCGCCGGCAAAGCTTGTCTCTATAGAAAAGTGGACCAAAGCGAATTCGAATCGAATTCGAGGAACGTTTGTCTGGTTTATTTTGGGTATTCATATCCTTGTGTATACTCACGGGCATTATAATGAAAATATTAAACGAAACAAAAGCAGCTAAAGCACAGATAACTAAATGATATGATATAATTAATATAGGACCTATAGACGGCCTAAATCATTCCAAAGTCTTTTCTGAAAGTTTTCTTATATTAAAAATTATATAGTTTTTATAATAAATATTTCTTTATAAATAACTTTTTGTTTAAAATATTAAATTTATTAAACATTATGGTATAGTTTTGGATAGCTCTTCCACGATTTTACTTTTGATTATGTGTACAGTGAACTCTTTTTTCATATAATTAATATAATATAATTTTATGTAAAATGTATTTATTTTATATACAAATAAATTTACCTAAGTATTTATAAGGTTGTTGATAGTTTACGTATATCGAATCCAATCGGTATTGCATCAAATTTTGGTAAAACACGTGAAGCAATTTCTTTGCAAATAATTAATTTTTATTACTTATATATATATATATATCCTTTAGTACAGTTTTTAACTATTCTGGATCTGTTTCAAAATAATTAAAAATATATTACCGAGCATTTATAACGAAAAATTTCTTAACCACAACGCGCGAAACACAGAAGCAAAGCGGAACATTAAATAAATGTCAAATTGCTTATTGATACATTCAAAGGCGTTGCCACCTAATTACTTTGTACCATATATAAGTATGTTCAATATTACCATACCGAGCTCGATGACTCAATAAAATTGATATAATTTTAGGTATATTTATTTCTGTAAAATTATTACTATATTTGCATTACGAACTTTAGTCAACGAACTTTGCTAAAGTTGATTTAGCGTTTACATTATCGTTTCGGGTTTTTATTTTGACAATGGTCACATTTATTAATATATTGATGAGCAATCAGCTGGAAACGTTATTATGGAAACCTGCTTTGTCATTTATAAATAAATATTGAAAAATTTATTATTTATTATTTATTAAAAAATTAAACTCACTGAACAAAAATGCATATTATTTATAGAATATTAAAAAGTCCTTTGATTTGTATAAAAACATTAGATCTCTGATGTGAACTTTTCATATCATACGAAAAAATAATTAGCAAATATTGATTTTTTCAAAAAGTTAATTTTTGGAAAAATCTAAAAACGGTACCAATTTGAACGGAAATACTTCTAATAAAGAATTAATTAAAGCAATAAAGAATACAAAGTATACAAATACAAATAATATAAAGAAGTATAATCAGCTTCTAAATTCAGTACATTTCAAGTTTTATAAAAAATTTTAACTTCCATAGTATAGAAAAAATGCTCAAAAAAATTTAATAAATAAATATCATTTCAATATTTCTATTTATTTAACTTTTAAATAAATAAATCAATTTTTAAAAATTTATTCATAAATAACAACTCAGCTTCCATAGCAACGTTGCTAACTTGGCACTAGCAATATATTAGGTCTGTTCCACGAGCTACTCGTAGTAAAACTCAAGTAAAATACAAGTAAAGTACAAGCTGAGAGCGTAACACAAATAAAGTACCAAATTATGCTCTTCACACAGATTTTCATGGAACAGCTTTGTGTAAAGTCTGGTGAGAACACCAGTGCCGCGCAAATAAACAATACAAAAATTTAAATTCAAACCAAAACAGCTGATTCACACATCAACAGAAATTTTACTTGAAATAAAATGTACGAGTAAAGTCTGTGTAGCATTTTCAAATTTCGACAGGGATGTTACGCTCTCTCAGATGTTCTCATTTACTCGAAAATTTGCTGGTGGAACGCACTTGTATACACAGTGCTACTCAAAGTTACTACGAGTAGCTCGTGGAACAGACCTATTATTTTAAAAATCTGTCATTTGGACATTTTGATACCAAAAACTTAGCGATAACGCATTAAATTCAGCGCTGTATTCAGGAAAATTTATTAAATCAAGTTTGTTGATCCCATTTTTTTATGGCAAAGCGATATTGGTTGCTGGTTTTGCGCTGAATGTTAGCATGACGGAGCTACAGTTACAGCGTATTACTATTCTTCACAGGCTTTAAAGAGATATTGAGATCAAATTTTACGGCGTAAATGCGTCTGCTTATGGGGCTATTATAAGCAGCTCTATAATTAAAAAAAGATAACAGATTTGTCATTGTGTGAATATTTGGTTAATGGTGAGGTGATCTGATTGACAGCTATACTGATAATGCTCAATCAACAAGACGGCATGTGACCCTAACCCTTTACAAAGTACACTTGAAAGTAGGTTGTAAGCAACATACATTAAGCTAATGCCACGATATTTAGCGCGATGTTTGGAACTCTAGGCTTAAAGCTTTGAGTTAAACCATTGACTCTTTTTTACTTTTACAAGTAGCTCACTTGTTTGTTTATCTCTTGTTATTGTTGGTACACCGTTCGCATAGATACTGACAGGACGGTTCTTTTAAAGATCACGTGCACAGACTTAATGCTGAAAACCAGGTATATCTTTGATAATGACGTATGAAGTAAGAGGTCTAAGTAAGAGCTCTCCAGTCTAAATTTTCTAAAGTTGAAGATAAGATTTTTTTTTTATTTTTCTCCTATAATATGGCTACTTCTGTCAATAAATGTCCACATATGGAGGCTTTACTGGATGAATATATTTGGGAGTTTCATAACAGTTTTTAACGTTTTACGATAAATACATATAGTAAATACGAACGAATGTAAAAAACTGTTCTGACTTTTTGAATGATTGAAAATATATTATTAGTATTTTAACTACTATTTTAAAATGATAAATATAGAAAATCACGTCTTCTTTTTAATCTTCTTTTAGTTATTAAAATCCACACTATAAAACCCATATTACAAATCCATACTATATGTCTGTTAATGAAAACCTCGAAATAGATTTTCTACTGTAATATTTGGATTCAACAGAAGAAAACCATTTAGAATTACTCGTATTAAATAAGAAGGACAAAAAACCATTAATCCATCAATCAATCAAACAAATATTTATTGTTTACTGATAAGACTATAGCTTCCAATAACATCAGAGAGTTTTCTTTTATCGCCACAATCGACTCAAACTGCTTGAAATGCTTTGAGGCGATTATTTTAGTGATAATATTTGATGAGTTTTATGACGAATTTATGCGATTTCAGAATCCTTAAAACTATAATTGCACAAACAGCTAATGGTACTGAAATCTGGTATGGTATCACATGTCAAATGGTACCAACGACCTATTTTCTTAGAAATTACAAAAAAACATGATTATTATTTAAACGATTTGTTATATTTAAGAAACGGGAATATCACAAAAATTTTTGTTGGTTGAGGACAGTGTTGAGTATTATCTCTAATTAGTATTCTTACAATCCCTTTTGCTGATCAAGGTCACTTTTAAGTTTGATATATTCTTCTTCACTAATATAGTGAATGTTGAACCTTAGGCCAGGTGGTAGAAAACGATTGAACTCATGTAAAAGCTTATCGTGACCGTCAAACAGAAATGCAACGTATGTCATTAATGTTATAGTATTAATTTTTAATAGCTGGTGTTCAAATAAAACATTAAAAAATGCCTTGATCTTGTGCTGTTCGTTAAGAAATGTGGCACGTACTTCTTTGATAAATGCAATGGTTTCATTCATCGTCCTCTGCATAAAATCATCCGGATAAACTGGTGGGAAAGGGTTGAGGGTGTGCAGAAATAATGTACGCTTTACCGCTACTGGTGTTGAAGGCATTTGTGTGTTGGTGCACAAATTTGGTTTCCCCGCTAAATTGCCACCATAACTAGCTTTCTTAACTGGCTCTGGTACCGATGTTGAAGGTAATTGTGAGTCGGTATACAAATTTGATGCAATTCCAATTCTTGGTTTTTGCAACAAATTGTCAGCATGACGAATTTTCTTAGCTGGTTCCTCATTCGAATGATTTAAGTAAAACATAGAGTTTGTCTTATCTAAACTGCAGTAAATTGAATCATTTTTCTGAATAAAATAGTTCACTTCAAGTGGAGCTTGAGATGCACTACTTTTTCTTTTTCTTCCTGAAGTTTTGGGACCATTTTGATTTGTACCTGCACTTCCTCCTTTATTATTTATATTGAAGTTGTTCATATTCTTGACTTTTTCTATTTTGGTGATGGCGATAGATATAGACGGTTTTCAAAGTATAAAACTTATTGGGCCTACTTAACGGGTTCTGCAAAAGTGAAATGATTAATAAAGTAAAAACCTGACATTTAAAAATTGAGATCTGTTTAATATTCAGTGTTGCATTTTGGTTGAGTGAAAAAGTTTATCTGCTGTATAAGTGCTTATAAATTTTGATATAGACGATGCTATATATATGTACATCAAGTATGCAGACCAAGTATGCGCTTTGCTATACACTTTGAAAGAAGGTGTTATTTTACCGCATACATGTCTGCAGACCGCAATTGGGTATTCATACTTGAATACACACAGTGCAATTTGGTATGCCAAGATTTGGTATACTTGGTTTGCATACATCGTCTATATCATGCTTTAGACTTAAGTTATGTCTTATAGTAACAATAGATTATTATTAATTTTCGTGATGTAATGTAGACTTTTAAAACTCTTCCTACATTGTGACCGAAAAGTTTCCGGTCATAAATAAATAAAACGCAAAATTCTTAATCTTCATCAATATTTATTTTATCTCCTTCAAAATATGCTCATTAGAAGCGATACACAAATGCCAACGTTTCTTCCAATCATCAAAACATTTTTTATAGGCGCTTTCCGGTATGGCTTTGAGTTCCCTCTGCGAATTCTGTTTTACGTCTTCTATGGATTCAAAACGCGTTCCTCTGAGTGGTAATTTGAGGTTGGGAAACAGGAAAAAGTCACACGGTGCAAGATCAGGTGAATACGGTGGCTGTTCGATGGTATTTATTGAATGTTTGGCCTTAAAATCGTTGATAATGTTGAACAAATTGAGGTGAATCGGAACAAGCCGGGCGTTGACACGTCGCATACACAAATTGTCCACCAAAATCAAACGAGCCATCTCACGACCGATGCCTAGCTCTCGTGCTATCTCTCTAACACTCACATGAGGATTTTTGAACACGATTTCCTTTGCCTTTTCAATGTTTTCGTCGGTGGTAGAGGTCGAAGGTCGTCCAGAACGCGGCATGTCTTCGACGGTCGTACGACAGTCCTGAAAGGCTTTGTACCACTCATAAACTTGAGTTTTCGATAAAACTGATTCCCCATAAGCCTTTTGTAGCATTCGCAACGATTCTGCACACGAAATTTCGTTCGAAAAACAAAATTTGATGCAAACTCTTTGTTCAATATTTTTTTCCATTGTTTTTTTCGCAACGCACTACTGAGGTGAACTGGTTTCAACAGCTGCCGTAAACGAACTGTCCGACAGATCGCGCTCATTTTTGGCATAGTAATTAAGGACAGTGCTGCCAAACTACATAAACTTAAAATATCGAAAAATATACAGCGCGCGAATTTTAAATGAGAACCTCCGAAAACCTTTCGGTCACAATGTATTCTTTAAATAATTTGCATTAAATTTAGGACAAATCTGGATATCGTCTTAGATTAAAGTAATTATCGAGGTTAAAGTACAAGTCTAGTTGTTTAATTATAGAT